CCTTCGCGGGGACGGCAGAGATTTTCGTTCAACCCGGTCAGGAGGAGAACTCACAGCTCCGGCGAGGGGAGAAGTCGGCCGCGAACTCTGCTCAGCCCACGTTGCCTGGATTTTCGCCTTGCCTTCTCCGTAGGTGGCCACATCGCCCACCGTAAGCCAGGCACAGTGTGAAACCCCATGCTTCGCCCCAGATGCTACAAGAGTGCACGCAGGAAGAATACCGACAGCTTGAGCGCCAGTTGTCCTCCCGTCATGGATTGGTCGTCCTTCTTGTGAGAGAGTTTTCATACAGAAGCTGTACAGCTGTCAAAGGCGGGCGCTTCAGCAACAACAGTTGCGCCAGGCTTCGGTGATTTTTTGTGAGAGTTCGCTGTTGATCCTTTTAAAACTTTATCTGCAGTCTTTCTGTCTTTACTCTTCTTTGCAGGTCGGCTCCGCAGGGGTCTCAACGGCTGCCCGGGCCTTGGCACTGGGAATTCTCTCTTCTCTCGCTTACTACCTGTAGGGCTCTCTTTGCTTTTGTTGAGGTCTCCGGGGTGTCTACGCCGCTGTCGTCCTCCGGACACATCTTCGGCGAGGCCTGGTGATCCGAAGTCAAGCCACAACCTTTCGGAAAGCAAGTCAGGAAGCCCGGTCCATGCGAGCACACTACGAGGTGCAGTCAGAGCCGTGAGCCTGTCATTAGGCCCTTGGCTCTAGCCAAGGCGCTGCAGCGTGAGCAGGACGAGCTGCGCAACAAGGCGAAGCGTCTGAGCTGTCGGTCCCAGCGGTCCCAGGTCCCAGATGCCCAAAGCAGGTCCGCCGCCTTGCGCGAGCTTGAGGCGGCTGCTTGAGGCGGCTGGAAGCCATTGGAGGCCGTTGCACCCTGCGAGGCCGGAGCGGTTCTCACGGGTGGGCATGTATGTCCAACAGGCAAGCACGCAAGCAGGCATAGATGATGTATCTCTCTCTCCATGTGTGTCTGTATATCTACATGTCTATATATCATATAGCTACAAATCTCCACTGTACTGTACATCTGTATATCTAGATGCAGATGCCTCTATATATCTACATATCTATAGTCTATAGATCAGTATCTGCAAAGCTGCAGATCTGCGTGTCTAAAGATCTGTATGGCATATCTGTATAATCATATGTGAATCACTGCTTGTTTCCCTGTGATGTAAAGCCTTGGTCTTGAGCTTTCCTTGTATATACCTTGCTGCCACAGGGCCCTTGAGATGCCCTTGAGTCTGCCCTGTAGCTTCGTAGTTTGCTGGGAAAAGACCGACAATTTTAAATTGGTAGCGGACCAGCCGAGCGGGTCTGAGTACCATAGGATCGGGCTTGGGCGAGCCCAATATCGACCCGCATTGCCTCCTCCAGTGTTCGTGCCGTTGATATCCCTGACAATGAGCGTAGCTGGTCTACGTTTTCTAGCAGGGTTGGCTCGAGTACTCCGTTGGAGACTCGAAGCGGATTGTATATTTACGATGGCAACCCAGTACGTTTCACGATTGGGAGCTTCGAACCGCTATGCGGTTGAAATTATACGAAGATGCGATTCGTGCCAAGACGAAATCGGCGAAGAAGGGCGACAAGACTGTCGACCCAGACGATACAGACAGCAAGGCGGGGGCTGCAAGCCCGACCCGCACCGTAGCTCTGTCCATGTCTATCTCTGTCTTTGTCTCCACCTTAATCCTATCTCTATCTTGTCTTTATCTGTACTTGTTTCGGCATGCAGATCTGCGTCTGCACCTGTATCTGTAGCTGTATCTGTATCTGTGTATGTATATGCTGTATATGTATATGTATGTTTATAGCTATGCCGATGTCCAGGTGCACCTGCATGTCCATGTCCATATCCATGTCTGTGTCCACGTCTACGTCTACGTGTATGTGCATCTGCAATCGTATGTGTATGTGTGTGTGTGTACATGTGCATGTGCCTGTATTGGTACATGCATAGATGTAGACGTAAATGTGTATGTATGCGAGCGCACACTGGCGAGCATGCATTCGACATATGAGTATTTGACAAAAGCCTCTGGCAGAGGCAGCTGTAGATGGACGGGACAAAGTAATGAAGCCGATATGGGCCGGGCCATGAACCGCTACCCTCATGATAGTCAGCTCCGGTGTGCGTGTGTGCGCTCTCTGTGTGTGTCTGGGGGGGTGGGTGTGTGTGTGTGTGTGTGCGGGTGTGTAAATATACGTAAACATACACATACATAAACGCATAAACAAATAAATAGACTGACAGATGAGTAGGTAGATAGGTAGGTGAAAATATAGATGGACGGATGGAGGGATGTATACATGGATGGATGGATGGATGGATGGATGGATGGATGGCGGATGAATGGTGGATGCATGGATAGATGGATAGATAGTACGATGGATGGATAGATCCGGATAGAAAGGCAGATAGGTGGATAGGTAAGTAGGTAGGTAGGTAGGTAGGTAGGTAGGTAGGTAGGCAGGTAGGTAGGTAGGTAGGTAGAACTGGTCACCCGACCTCTCTCTCGCTCTCTACATCTATCTGCCCATCTATCTATCTATCCATCCGTCGATCTAGCTATCTTTCTGTGTGCGTGTGCGCGCGCGTGTGTGTGTGTGTGTATGTACGTGTACGTCTATGCCGGTACGCATAGGTGCCTGTGCATGCATGTGGGTTTGTTTGTGTGAATCTGCATATTTGTGCAAATGTAACATGTATACATACAGGAATGTATGTATGTATCTATGCATGCATGTACGCATGTATGCATGTATGCATGTCTGCATGTATGTATGTTGCACTAGCAGACCCATGCGACACGGTCGGCCCATATCGGTTATGCGTGGCTATGGTTTCAGACCAACATGGCAGGCTTGGGTCAGGCCAGGAAGCATCCATCTGTCGACAGGCATCTGCTCCTGGAAGCGCCTGATTCTGAAGTGTTCGGCAGCCATTCCTGGCAGATCGGGCAGAAGCGAGCTCTTGTGACTCTTGTGCATCCGTTTCACCCGCATGACCGGCTTGAAAACTGCAGGTGCAGGTTGCAGCATAGTGAGTGAGTAAAGCGAAATAAAATAATGCAGAGTCAGGTGAAGTAAAGTTTTGACGTAAACAAGGTAACAGTTACGTAAATCATTACATGAAGCCAACCACGCCAAACAAGTAACGTCAGTAGAGCAAGCCCACTAAAGTAAAGCAAAGTAAATACAAAAGCAATGCATTGCAATGCAAAGCAAGCAAGGAGGGAAGCAGGGACGGACGCAAGCAAGTAGACAAGCGGGCCAGCCGGCCAACCAGCCAGTAGGTCAGTCAGTCAGTCAGTCAGTCAGTGAGGGACTGAGTGAGTGACTGAGGAATTGAATGATGAGTGCGCAAGTGAGTAAGTCAGTCCGTCCGTCAGTCAGTCAGTCAGTGAGTTAGCTAGTAAGTGTTGGGTAAATAGGTAGTTAGTTCGTTCGTTCGATTGTAGGTTAGTTAGTAGTTATCCAGATAGCTAGCTAGCTAGCTGGTTGGTTGGGCAGTTAGTCAGTTTGTTCATCAGTTAGTTAGCTAGCTAGCTAGCTAGCTAGCTAAGGAAAAAAGGTGAAGGAAGGAAGGAAGGATGAACGAGTACCATGTGCAGGTTCATACGTATGTACATGGTTCACTGATGCTCTGCCTTCTGCTTTGACCGGCTCGAGCCAAACCACGAACAACCCAAGAGTTTCCACAGCAGCACGAGCCGGAAGCTCAGACGCGCCGATGGCAGCAGAGCCTGGATAGCTGTTGGGATGCTGAGGATGCCGCCCATCCAATGACAGTGCTGCTGCCATGTTTGGAACGTATGAGCACGTGTGCTGCGGCACGCAGGGTGTGCTTCGGACAAAAAGACCTGCCTGTGTGGTTGCAGGAGGTTGCTTACTCTCCGGACGAAGAATGCAGCACCCCTAGTTAAGACATCTCGGTCATAGTGTTCGTGACTGAGATGAGGTTGGGAATACCTGGACCCCCAGTCCGTCAAGCGCGGCCCATTCTCTGGCAGCCGCATGCTAGTCTTGAGCCAAGCTTCTGCGCGGCCTACTAGCAGGCCGCGCCTAGCCTGGGCAACATCGCGCTTCGGTGACTTTCATGACCAGGTGTGGTACGAACACGAAATGCTCCCGGAGGCTGGCATCCAAGATGGCCCTCCGATGCTTCTTGCGACTGACCGCAGCTTGTTCCTTCCGATGTGTTCTCTTCTCAAACGAGCTTCTTTGCCTTAGTCCACTTGCCGCGATGCTATGGCGGAGCCACAGAAGAAGGCTCGCACTGCGCGCACCTTCCTTTTCTCTGAGCGGTGAGCGAGGTGACCGGCACTGAGCCGCCGATTTGAGTGAAGCCTTTGCTTTTGAGGCTTCCCGGACAAGATCTGAAGGTGGGCCCGAAGACCAAGGTGGTCTGTAAGACGGCCACCAAGAACAGCATGGCACCAAGGTGGCCAAGGGTTTCTCTCCTGGCATCTGGATCTCCAGCCACGAGCCATGAGCCGCAGGGCATGGCATCTCTCCTGCCTCCATCAACGAGTTTGTGGCGCGTCGCCGGTGAGAATTGCCGCCTCCGTGAGAATGCCTCGAAGTCCCTTTTGGCAGGGGCTGTGCCACCTTCAGCAGTGTGCTTGTCGTCTTCTAGGGTTTAGGGTTTAGGGTTTGGGGTTTAGGGGCTTAGGGTTTAGGGTTTAGGGTCGGCACCAGCCACGCGTGCCACCGCTGAAACCCTGGGATCACTCTTTGGAAAAGTTCGCATCAAAAAGCAGAGCCCGGACATTGCCGGCGCAGTCCATGTTGGCAAGGACGAGAAGGACGTGGGCGCCGTGCTGGTGGCTGCGGCATGACCGCAGGACGCAGGTGACGATCGAGTCTATGCAGCACCCGATGGGCCGGTCGAGCCGAAGAAGATCTACGCTTTGTTGATCTCTACGCAGCATGCGGAGCCATCCAAGGCTAAGCGAACGCAGGAGTGTGCTGGCTACAGCGTTGCCGAGACGGTCGCACCGAGCATGGAGCAGATGAACAAAGAGATTGCAGAGAAGGTCATCAAGCGAACTTTACAGCAGATCAAGCTGAAGCACGGCCAGCTTGCCATCAGCCTCTACAGCAGCCACACACATCCATCAGCCCCTCCGGCAGGTGCTGCCGTGGCTGGCAAGGACTCCACCACTGCCTACTGCCCTGAGATGGCCAAGTCCCTGGTCAGCGGCTTGAGCATCGGCGTGGCCAAAGCGCTTGTTCCTGTTTGTCATCTGGAGCCTTGCGGCAGCGAGAAGGGCAGCCCTTTGCGTGAGCCAAATTACCAGGAGACTGAGGCCCCACTTTGGCCGCGAGAACCTGAAGTATTTGTCGAAGTGCAAGACCATGAGCACGGCGCGTACCTGAGGACTAAGTGATTCGCCGGAGACAACGGGCGATGCCTCAGATCCGCCAGCCTTGTGCCGGTGCATTGGGCGGAGCCGATCTGCGGCTAATCGCGCACATGAACTCCGATGATCGAGAAACCGACTTCTGGATGCGGCAAGAAAAGGATGATCGGTGGGGAGGCCATGCCTTTTTCTGCACTGAGAAGACCTCAGCTTTTCAAGGAACTGCGAGTGCGCTATGAAGCGCGCATGCCCTTCATCCCGATCAGGGAGTCTCAGGCTCAGCACTTTGCAGCATGTGAGGCAAGACCGTGGAGCGTGTGCTGAGGCTTTTCCATCCGCCGCTTCAGCCCTTCAAGTCTCCCTCCCATGCACACGTTGCCGCACGCGCATTGACTCGTGACGGTTGTTCTCTCTCGGCAGCTGCTCTGCTCCGCTCAGCTCCGAGGCTCCAAGGAGAGACAGACAGCAAAGAGAGCTGAGACGTAAGGAACTTCTGGTAGAGTTTGAGACCAAGCAATGCGGAGCCAGCTTGAAGCACGCAAGCAAATGCCACAGGATCAGACTAGCAGTCAGCTTGACAGACCACCCGGTGATTTTCTGCCGCTTGAGGTGGCATGCAAGATCCCGTGACTTCGCAGCCCGTCTTTCGCAATTCAAGGATGGCGGAGTTCTCGGACACAGAGAAGCGGATGCTCCAAGGCCAGATCTCTTCTCATGTCGCTGAAATTGCTGCATCCACGGCGCCAGTAGGCGTTTGGCCACTCGACCTGCTTGAGGAGTGCAGCGGGTTTGGAACGAACGACGGCCTCGCACAGTGTAGCTTGAGCCCACCAGGATCCGATGCGGCGGCCGCGAGTAGTGTCAACAGCCAAGGAGTTCCTCCGAGAGGCAGAAGTTTAATTTTTTCGCTTACAGATTTCTTACAGGAAAAAAATGCTCGTTGTGCGAGGTGCTGGTGGCGGATCATCTGGGAGATTTCATTGCTCGGGCGCCTGGCAGCTTGTGGCTTCTGGGCAGTGAGGCTGGGATGTTGCAGACCTGGCTCAACTGAAAGGTTCTTCCGAATGGCGTGCAGCTGCTGGGCCTGACGGAGGAGGACCAGTCCGCTGGTTCGCTGCAGAGTATTTTACATGATGCCTTCGCTAGGAAGTGATGCCCCCCGAGTTGACGAAAGCGCTGAACAGCACAAGTTCGGCTGATGACCGAGAGGAATGGGAACTGCAGGGAACTGCCAGTATGCGCACCAGCACAAACAAAAGCCAAGGTGCAAGACTTGCTGAAGTATTTTCAGGCTGTCAGCTGCCCAGAGCCACTGTGGAATGCATCAACTTTGCCTGAAAAGAGCTGCAGAAGGGATTGTAAATGATTGTAAAGGGTAAGCGAAGCTGTTTTCAGAAAGTGGTCGCCGCTGTGGTCGTAGGGTATTACGGTATACCGGGTGACCCTTGTTGAGCCGCCGTTCTGCGTCACGGCCGAAAGGCCATTCCCCCTTGGAGGGGGCCATGCGCTCAGAAGCATAGTGCTTATCAGGAATGAGATCGTAGCAAGATTGGTAAGAGCTTTGGGTGAGCAGGATGTGGACCATGTCGTCCCGTGCCTCCTTCATGTCTGAGGACGACGCCCTGCTAGACAAGTACAAGGCGCATGTGCAACAGTTGCTCCTCTCCGCCTTCCTCACGCAACAGCAAAAGCAACTGCTGAATGTGACCGCTGCTGCGGCTGCTGCTGCTGCTGCTGCTGCCGCTGCTGCCGCTGCTGCTGCTGCTGCTGGTGCTGCTTCTGCTTCTGCTGTTCCTATAGCAACAACAACAACAACAGCAACAACAACAACAACAGCAACAGCAACAGCAACAGCAACAGCAACAGCAACAGCAACAGCAACAGCAACAGCAACAGCAACTGCAACTGCAACTGCAACTGCAACTGCAACTGC